ACCAAAAGTATTCCATTAAATAAGAAAAAAATTGTATAATCTATCGAAAAATGACTAAAAGACACCGCTGCTAAATATTCATGAAATAATCCACTTATCAAAAAAGCAGCACATGTTCCAAGCGCGCTCCCAATGGTTTTGTTGCGTTTAAAATAATGTTTGACAGGAAGATATCCAAGTTCTTGAAAAACTTGGTTATACACTTGATGCCACTGATTGGACCATAGATCTCGAGGACTCGTTGAAACATATGGCTTATCCATTAGAGGTTTTGTATAGAATATTGTAAGGATTAACCATTCTTTGATGTTTGTTTTAAGAGATTTTGAATCTTCTCGTTGTTTCCTGTGTTTATCTTTATTTTTATCAGTGTCGTTATATAACAAAAGTTTTAAAACTATCCCATAGATTATACAATTAGCATTCCACATTACTGAAAAGGCTGTAATTGTGTGAATTATAAAAAGAATGCAATGAAAGAAAGTATATGGTTCAATAAATGGATGTCCAGTTCTAAGATAATCTAAAACCCGTAGCCAATATGATCTTTCTGGGATTTCTGGTGTGTTATGGTTTAAATATTCGGACATGAGATCTAAAAGTAAAGATTTCATAATAGCCGTAATTATGTGATTAATCATCTCTCGGTTAAGATCTGAGACTTTGATAGAATCAATGTATTTTTGATATTTTGATTCATCAGGAATAGTTAATGATTTAGGCCGCCAATTGAATAATGAACCGATGAATGAAGGAACTTTAATTTTAGGATCGATGGAAGATTGGTAATTTTTTTTCAACCATAACATCATTTTGAATATGTAAAATGTCACTAATACTGCTAGAGAGAAATGTAATAGTGATTCGTATCTTCCATGATATATGAGGGGAATCAGTGCTTGAAAAAAGGTTATAATACAAAGTATGCAAGTAAGGGGTTTGCTAGTTACGGGTTTGAGAGATAAGAGAACAAATGCAAAGAAAGGAACATGAATAACTATTATATAAACTATTGGATTTAATTTGGGTGGAAATTCGTATGTCCGAGACATTTTTTACTGATTAGTGAAATTAATGAAAATTAATGAATGTCTGTAAAATTTACGACCAAACTTGTAAAAAAACACGTATTTATAATTATTGAAAACTGTAATAAGCTGCATGATAACATTAATCATTACTATATTATTGGCGTATTGTCACACAATATGGGCTGAATGTTCCATTTTATGCATCAATCGCATTATGCACATGATGTGCATTAACAATTCGACAGTGATTATCACGATTATGCATGATTGCAGACTCCGCCAGGAGTCTAGACACTTTTGCAGCAACGTGATGTGGCGCATGAGAAATGACCAATCTGGATGCGTAAATTTTGATTGTCCCGGATCAACTCGACGTCAAAACAATACACAAGAAGAAAAAAAGAGAAAAAAGCGAAAACACTCAAAAACTAGTGTTTAAATCAGCCTTTAGGCATTACAAAAATTATTGGGAGCGTAATTTACATATGGGGATGATCTTTCAAGGCCTATAACCACGAACCCTAACCGGGAACATAACATAAAACTTATCCGAATACCACATCACGTTACTGCAAAAATGTCTTGACTCCTGGCGGAGTCGGTAAATTCATTGTGCAATGATACAAATCTAAAAGTACACACTTACGTTAAAAGTACATACTTACGTACGTTGACTCACAAAGTTTAACATGGTTATACAAAAAACATAATAAAAAAACCACAAAAATTTATGCAAATCAACGATGTTAATATAAATGATTAAATAGTGATTAATTAACTTATTAATTGTCCGAAGCGTAGCGAGGACTCACTTTTAGGGATGGGCAAATTTTTTACATATTTCTTATGTATTCTTATTTAAGATTTTGTTGCAATAGGTAATAATGAGAA